AAGAGGGTGGGGGAAGTTACTCTAACTCCTGTACTGCACAACCACAATATTCCTATCTCTATTACAGGACATATAACATTGCATTGTGATTTTTTCACATGGTGTACATGCATGTTTTCCCAAACAGTTTGTGAGCTTCTTGAGGCAAATGTCTTGTTTGTTTTTGCATCCTCAATACCTAACCCAGTATATGGCACTGAGGAGACTATTCAATACAATTGCTCAATTGTTGAATGAATACTATCTATCCCTATAGCCTCACCATCTACTCGTGGCTTACCTCCTATACTCTGGCTCCCACTTACAACACAATATTGAAAGAATGTTCTCAAAAAGTCACCAGAAAGCTCCCAGTTGACAAATTCATTGGGCCTTATCCTTTTTGATTCCACTGTAGCATATGTCATTTTTAAAATGCTCATCTTTCCTCCCTTCTTAATACTTCCCTCTTCCTTTGCTTCTAGGACAACAATGTCTTGATTCTTCTCCTACCTGTCTAACTGCATCTTGTCTATCTTCTTGCTAGCTCTACTTTTAGTCCCTAAGTGGAGGCATTTTTAAAGTTCTGTCCTTGGCTCTTTGTTCTTCATAATGCCTCTAACAAAATCACTTCCATTTCTGTAGTATAACCAAAACTTTCACCAACCCAAGCATTTTGTCAAGAAATTTATATTCATATTTCCAAGCATCTTCTGGACATCTTGACCTCAATCCTCTGCTACCACCTTCAGGTTACGTTGCCCAAGAGGGAATTTATCTTCTTCCACTATTACTGCTCCTTTTCATGATTTTAATAATTTTGTCTTGTAAACCAACTGTCCTCCCAGCCAATCAAACTAAAAACTCTTGGGATATCTTTGACTCCTGGCTGCTCCTCTGCCACTATATTACTTTGATTATGCCACTCCACTACTTAAAAACCCTCAATAGATCCCTATTGCCTAAAGAATAATATGCTAACTCTGTAGTTTTTTTATTCAAGCACTACACATGGTGTGGCATCAACCTACTTTTTCAGCATTATCTCCATACTTTTCTATTTTATATATCCCATTTTCTTACCTTTTTACTATTTGCTATTCCCCCAAAATGCTTTACATTTAATGACATTTTATTTGACTAAAATGCCCACTATACCCACCTGTAAACCCTCCCCCCACTGCATAAATCCTTATGCAATCTTTCAAAGCCTTTTTCTCCATGATTCTATTTCTGATATTTCCAATCAGGTGTATGTCCCTCCTCTTTACTCACATAGTATGTTATTAATACCTCTTCTATGATACCTATTATTGTCTGCCTTATTCTGTAGTTCTTTCCATACTTTAATAAAAATCTTTCCTACTAGACATAAGGGTCTTATAAGAAAATCTTATTTAATTATTTCTGCATTTTCAGTGATGTTTAGCATAGTACCTATCACAGAACAGATATACAATAAATTAATGAATATTTAAGGGGTCATTTCCCAATCTATGCATTTGACATCAGCAAAGCCTGTAATCTTGGTTGATACTCAGACAGTATGCATAAGTACACCATACTATTTATTGGTTATTAATATTTTGAATATCATTCCTGATATAATAACCTCCCATCAGATGTTTTTTGGTGCCCTTATATGAGACAGGACACTCAGCTGAATGGGCTAGAGACAATATTTGGGGGTTCCCTCTGAGTTAACTAATGTGGTGGTTTTTGGGGACAGAGGCTCGGTATGCAAGATTTAAAATTTAGGCAACTAATCATACCATTTATTAACATTTTGATTTTCTAATGAAGAATATAGCCTACCACCTGTTGTTGTTGTTAGGTGCCGCTGAGTCAGTTCCAACTTATAGCGACTGTCTTAGTTATCTAGTGCTGCTACAATAGCAATACCACAAGTGGACGGCTTTAACAAAGAGAAATTTATTTCTTCACAGTAAAGTAGGCCAAAAGTCCAAACTCAGGGCATCAGCTCCAGGGGAAGGCTTTCTCTCATTGTCAGCCTTCTCATCAATGTTCCCCTGGACTACGAGCTTCTCCAAATAGGGACCCCAGGTCCAAAGGACGCGCTCTGCTTCTGGCACTGCTTTCTTGGTGGTACGAGGTCTCCCTGTCTCTCTGCTCACTTCTCTCTCTTATATCTCAAGAGACTGCCTCAGGACCCAATCCAATCTTGTAGATTGAGTCCTGCCTCACTAACACAACTGCCACCCATCCTCCTTCGTTAACATCATAGAGGCAGGATTTACAACATATAAGAAAATCACACAATACCAGGAATCATGGCCCAACCAAACTGACACATGCATTTTTTGGGGGGACATAATTAAATCCATGACAGTGACCCTATAGGACAGAGTAGAACTGCCCCATAGGGTTTTCCAAGGAGCAGCTGGTGGATTTGAACTGCTGACCTTCTGGTTAACAGCCATAGCTCTTAACCAGTACGGCACCAGGGCATTTTGTTTAAATATGGAATTGAAAACACTGCAGTTTAGAAACATAATTATAGAGCTCTGTATTGTACATACAGTACTTTTCATCTGTAGGCAATGACAGTGGTAATGGCAAGTAGAGCACTACATCTTTGCCGTTTGTGGTCCACTCTGATTTCAGAATTTTTGGCTGTTTCCTCTTATTTTACTTGGGGGAAATTAGCCTTCTCTATAATTTGGTTTCTCTGCTTTTATCTCGTCACTTTGAAGGTTACTGGAAAGGAGCAAGGATGCCAATGTTGAACAGGCAAAGTATAACAACACAAAGACAATGGGATCTTGGAAAGGAACGAAATAAGATGCCCAAGGAAGTGACAACAATAGGGGACCAGCAGGAAATGATGATCTAGCTCGGAAAGGCAGAGACAATGAATAAATTTGAATAAGTCCTTAGTTCTGCTGCTTCTATAAAGAGGCAAGCAGACACATGAGATTTTTGGCAGACTTCTAAACTCTTGTGTCTTCCCTCTCTCTCCCTTGCTTAAAGCTCCTCTACTGATGTCCAACATGCTTTACCAACTGTGGCCACTGTCTGACTTCTAGTTTCTTTTTACCTCTGGACATTTGCTTTGGCTGCTGCCACATGGAATGACTGCCAGAGCTAAAGAGGCTGGTATTTTTGACCCTATATGTTCACGGACGCACTCCAGCTAAAGTACACCTCAATTTAGATTACTTGAAATCAGTACTGTAAAATTATGCAGTTTGTGAATATATCCTTGGTGTTTCACAGTTGACAACACTATATTCCCTTGAGTACCAAACTCACAGAAACCCCACGGAATGATCTTTCTCTCCGTACAGTCTTTGTGCAGTCAATGTGAGGTGTGAGACTAATCAGTCAGAGGCCAGCAAATGTATTTTAAAAATAACGGTCTAGTTAAGATTATAGCAGTTCTTTAAAGGCCCAGAATAACATGCTTTTACTTATCAGCTGCTTAATGGAGAACTGAACTGATATAAAAATTATTTCAGTCTGCCTTTCACTGACTATTGTTGCTCTGATAGTTCAAGAAAGAGCAGTGAAGGTTTTTATTTAAGAAGTGGAAGGGACCTCTGATAACATGGTAGAACATTCTCATTTTATAGATAAAGACTGAGGATAGGATAGGTGGAATGGCTGTCTCATAGTTACAGATTTAGCAGCACTCCTGATGTTCTGCCATGCAGCATTACCTTAAAAATGAATATGATCATATACATACAGATTTTAATTTTCTTTTCTCCAGTCTTCCGTTCTTATTCTAGGCCATCTTCAATATCTTTACATACGTACAACAGTCTTATACTCCAATCAAAACACTTCTCTCCTTTCAACCAAATCTTACCTCCAGGCTAATCTCCCAGGGACTGCCAATGAATAGCAGAGGTGGAATGTTTATAAGTACCAATCAAATGTAGCCAAAACATGAAAAATATGAATATAACGTATATTGTCTCCCGCTATGAGTTTTACCATTGCCAAGAGCTTTCATAACTCTGTAATGGGCTCCTTTTCTTTCACTGGTTTGCTGGAATACGATAGCTGTGAAAGCTACCAATTTTCATTTTAATATATTGCATTTTTTGAATTGTAGGCTACTGAAGGCAACTACTATTAATCTAAATTCTATAGTTCACATATTAACTATTCATTTTCCTTTTTTTAAATTTATTTCTTCATATAGATTTACAGCCCATGAAGGGGCTTTTTAAAATCAGCATACACCTACTTTCTTCCTCTACTTCAAGTTCAGATATAAACTAAAAATACAAAAACGTACTTAGAGGAGGTAGACAGCTCAATCTACTTGGATTATCCGGAGAGGAGCTATTATTTACCTCAACCATAGGGTATAACGATAGGGTATGACCAGAGAAGGTGGAAAACTTTCTAGATCTTCTTGATTGAGGGAGGCTGTTTTTCTTTCTTTTCTTTTTTTTTTATGGTTTTTCTTCCCCTGAGACCAATGTTCATAGTATGACTTTATCTGTTGCTAATCAAATATACACACAAACATTTATTCCAATGCTTTGAGACTTTTTGGGATCTTGGATTATCTGTGCCTCCCCTCTCATTGTTAACATGAATCATGGAGAATGTACTGTACTGCAGCAAAACCAAAATGGCCTTTGGAAGCAAGTCTTGCCTTCGTTTTCTTACCTGTAAAATAGCTAATGTGACATCCTTAGGGCCAATTACTTTTAGTGATTTAATTACACTTATGATTTTAAACCAACTTCCACCTAAACCACGTTCATAAATATTAATATTAAACAGTGGGAGTCCTTGTTTCTGAGTTTGTTTTTCGTTTTACAAAGTCTACAGTTATTCGAAGATACACTTACCAAGTTGAAACTTGTGATCACATAGATGCTGAAGCCTTCTGAGACTTCACACGTGAAATGAGATCAATTGTTAAAAGAAAATCTTCATGGGGAAGTTTCCTTTTTTTTTTTTTTCATTCTTGGCTTTGAACATTCATATATTATCTGAACATTCATATATGATCCTATGTGAACTGGAATGGGTTTTACCTGGATTCCTTGGAATTCGCTTTCTGCGGTCTCGGAATGCTGCACCTGATTGTAGCGCTTCTAGAAGATTATCCATCACGCCAGTCTCATCACCCTCTGGAGGAAGGGAGAAATCAGAATTAATCTTGGAGCAATTAAAGTTAAACTACAGGAAAATAAAAGGGACAACTCCTGTCAGATTTACATAATACCACTAAATTAAAGACATATATCTGTTTTAACATAATAGATTCTGTCAGTTTCTGGCACCACAAACTACTTTGCTTATTACGCGCCATTAAGCAAAATTCATGCCAATCGCACTGTTCTTTCAACTTAAAGACCTTGTCTTTTGTATTATTGATGACAGGCTCAGTATGCAAATAAACAGTAGCTGATCAGCTACTGCTGCCTTCTGTTAAGATTCTTATATTTCTAAGCAAGAAACCACTGACCCAGCTTAATGCAATCAACGTGCAGGGCATGATTTGATGAAGCAGAGTTACACAAGGTTAAATAATGATTGTATTAATACCTTCAGCATTCAACCATCATCTGCGATTATCTCAAAAGACACTATTTGCAAACTACATTTGCATTCAATTCCTACCTAATCCATATTCCGTTCCTCATTTCAAAATGCTGACATTGTGTAAGGAAAAGGTGACCATATCATCTGAAAGGCCACATTTTACAGTTGAGAGACATTAGCCAGAGGTTTTTGTGTCTCATCATCCCTTTTAGAATGCTGTTGTGTTTCTAAACTTTGCCTATGGGAAAGAACTGTTAAGAATCCGTGAGTGGAGTACTCAAAAGATGTTCCTAACAGAAACGCATTTAAAACATTTCACCATACTCATCTTTGACAACTCAGGCCATCAAAAACACTTTTAAGATTTATCAGAACATTTGTCTTGAGGTGTCAATTGCCATAAAGTGTCTACTACACTGTGGATGACCTGCTATGAGCTGAGCTCCGTTTTCCCTATTGGCCTAAATGATATAAAGGTCCTTAACTCGGCAACTTATTTAAGTGGGTAGCTAAATGTGTGTGTCTGGGGTAGAGGATATTTGTAGGCAGGAGGGTTCCGAGAAGAAAAAAAGGAAGATGAGGGAGAAGACATTGTTTCAGATGGTATTCCAAGGTTAAATTTAAATTCTACTTTGTTTAAAGAATTGACTATGGGATATCAGATCACAGAATAAAATTATATTCTCTTATGGGGCAAGAACAAGATAAAATCTTTTTGATTATCTCTTCATATGACTTGAAACTTCTTCAATGTTACAATAATATTCTCTTTTAAAATGAACTCTCTAGGACAGGATATTAAATGAAAAAATGAAGGGAAACACAGAGGTTCTCAGGTCTACTATTTGGTGAAAGTAAGAAAAACAAAAGGAAAGTAGAACCCCAGTGACTAAACAAGGAAAGGGGATTGTGCACTTTTAGGAATATTAAGGTCACAGACACATCTTAATCATCACCTGCTCTTTTCAATAGAAAGAAAAAAGGAACTGAAAGTAGTTTGGCATGACTAGAATGTATCTGGGAGAATTAAACTTTATGCATTAGGTACTTTGAGATAGGTATTATCTCTCTCTTTCAGCTGGGAGTACTGAAATTTCGAGAATTTAAGCATCTTATTCCATATTACACAGCTGGCATGTGATGGGGACCTGGTATGAACTCAGATCAATCTGACACTAAGACTGGCCCTCTTTAAAAAAAAAAAACAAAAAACTAGCCCTTTTTGCATGGTAGCTGGCAGAAGTTGTAATGAACTAGGCAGAAAGTGGTCAGATGATCTAAAACCAACCCAAATCTGCTGCCTTTGAGTCAATTCTGACTCATGGCAACCCCATGTGTTACAAAGTAGAACTGCTCCATAGGGTTTTCTTGGCTGTTATCTTTACAGAAGCAGACTGCCAAGCCTTTCTTCTGCAGAGCTGCTGGGTAGGTTCAAACCACCAACCTTCAGGTTAGCAGCCCACTGCAAACCGCTAGTGCCACCTAGGAACATTCAGTCAGATGACAAAAGATCATAATTCTATGATATGGGGTCTGAACACTATCCTATAAGGCAGCTCTGTCCAACAGATATATATAATGCAGGCCATGAATGTGAGTCATATAAGAAATTTTAAGTTTTCTAGTAGCCACTTTATAAAAGTAGGAGAAATGGGTAAAATTAATTTTAATATATTAAGTATTTTATTTAACCCAATATATAAAAATATTAATCACGTATTTTACATTTTTCTTTTTTTCAGACTAAGTCTTAAAAATCTAGTGTGTATTTTACACTTCAGAAAATCTTTATTCAGATTAGCCACATTTCAAACGCTCAACAGCCACCTGTAGCTCATGGCTACTATATTGGGCAGCACAGCTATAAGCAATAGAAAGTGACTGGATCTGATTTATGCTTTAGAAAGAACAGTAAGAGAACATTGTAGAAGATGGCAAGAATGAAGGCAGACAGACTTTTAGGAAAGTACTGTGATCGTCTAATTATGAGATAAGGACCTGAATTAAGGCAATAGAAGAGTAAATGGAGAAGATGGATATTTTGAAGATAGTAATACAACGAAAACAACAATACAATCAATAGGACTTGGCTGGAAGGGTGAGATTAAGAGGAAGGAAAGTAGTCTAGACAACCAAGGATAAACAGAAAGAACATATTTTAGAAAATGTGATGATCTGTTTGAGATGTCTAAGGAATATCTAAGTAGAGATATTCAGTAAGAAGTTGGAAATAAATGCCTGGAATTCAGAAGCAAAGTCTGGCTGGAGCTAAAGATTTGAGTGCCATAAGAAGATGGGTGAGACTGCACTGGGACATTTTGTGAGGAGGGAAGTTATGATGCAATTCTGGAGTACCTCAACTTTTAATAGGTAATCAGGAGAATCAGAACTGCAGAGAAAATAAGGAAGTAATTTTTAGCTATAGAAGTAGAACCAGGAAATAACAATAGCACAAATGAATTTCATATATCCTTATTAAAATAGTAATTATAAAAACTATGCAGAGAAATGAAAATACAAGTGCAAAGAACAGAATAAAAACAGTATGTATTTATGGTTTTACATAAATAATATGCAAACATGAAAAAAATTATATAACATAATGACATTAAAGATGTTACTTCATTGAAATTCTTTAATGGCATTATATTGTGTATAGACTAAAAAGATAGGAAAAAAACCAAAATATGGAAAAGTAGAGAGGGGTTAAAAATAAATTCCTTTGTTAATTTAATGGTTGCTACCTGATAAAACTTATCAAAATTTTATTACGCTAGATTAGTGTTTCTCAAACATTTTTCCCCATTATCACACCCTCTCCCAAATATCTAAAAGGGGCCCTTTTAGATATCTATTTCCCAACCCCTCCCCCACCATTAATTTAATACCATATATATACTATATATATATATATATGTACTCTGGCTCACAAACCACTGTAATATCTAAGGTTTTTCTCTGTCCCTTCCCCAATAACCCTGGAGTTGATAGTGCTCCTATTGAGAATGCATGTACTAGATGCTTCTGTTAGAAAAGCCAGATCTTTGTAAATATCACTTATGTATTAAAGAAAAGAGATACAGGTTTTCAGTCCACCATTAATTTTTTATTTGCTCCATGATAACTTTCAAGGGAGCTGAGTGATTTGCATGAAATGTTGAACCCTACTAAATCAAGGTTTTATGGAATATATTGTAAGATCAATTTATATTGCAGTTAGTCTTCCTAAAACAAAATGGAAGCCAACACGATCATTTGAAAGAAGTTATCCTACATTTTAAATGAATTTCAGTAAAATGTGGTATGTGATTGAACTGTGTGAGGTTGACAGTTCACTTAGAATTTCCAAGTTTACAGAACCATTACTTTCTACTTAGATGTGATTAGCAGTGTTTTTTTTTTTTTTTTTTTGTGGGGGGGGATCTATGAAAACAAACTCATGAAAAATATCTTTTACATTTCTTTTTTTCATTGAAAAAGAAAATAACTTTATTGAATTGCACAGAAATGTATTTTGCTACAACTCATAATACTTATTTTACTGAGTAAAAGAATATCTAGGAGAAATTTGGTAATGCTTTTTAACCACTAAAATGATAACATATGGGCATATCTAAGAAGTAACAATTCAGAGGCAACTTTTTAATCTTTCATCCTAAAATTAGATTACAGACAGCACTGAAGAGCTATGTGGGCTGCAAGCAGCCTGTGGGTTCTGTGTGAGCTGCTTATCCTAGGGTAAAATGAAAGGCTTGGGTTGTACCATCTGCAGTGTGATGGATTGTTTTTATATGCCCTTTCTTGCCATGGTCTTGTAACTACCACCAAATGATTGGGTGGGACTATGCAAATAAGGTGCTTGGGACCCACCAAGGGGATTAGACAGTTTGCTAATAATGCAAATAAAGTGCAAAGCATCATTGTGGAGTAGGACCATACAAATAAGGTATATGGAACCCTAATAAGGGGATTGGTTAGTTTTGCCATCCTGCTAGGCTTAAAATGAGCCATCCAAGAGGTGGAAAGGAGGGACTTCACTACCACCAAGACGAAGAGATTGGAGTGGAGCATGTCCTTTGGATCTGAGGTCTCTGTGCTGAGAACCTCCTAAACCCAGGAGACAGAGAAAGAGAGAGAGAGAGAGAGAGAAAGAGAGAGAGAGAGAGAGAGAGAGTGAGCTAGCTGTAAAACCAGAGATAATGCAAGATGGCAAGAAGCGGTGGCAGAGAAACAGAGGCAGCAGAACTAGGTAACTGGCGCAAGACAGTGCAGTAGGCTTCCTGGTCCACAGAAAAAGGCAGTTACAGTGGGTGTGCTGGTCCACAGAGCAAGAGCTGACTGCCTTTCGGCAGCCAGCTTCCTGGTGGAGTGGGATGCCTCTGGGTACTTTTCCCTGGAGCTAGGCTTGCCTACCCACAGAGCAAGAGAGTTGAGAGCTTTTATCCTGAGGTTTACTGGTGGAGCCCGTGCTTCCAGGCACTTATTGGCAGAGCTAAAGAGCTTTGTAACACTTGCCTGAGTAGGGCAGAGGCCAGGCCGAGGAGCCAAGGGCCAGAGAGAGGCCTGCCTGCAGGCACGGCTGAGA